AGTAAATTACAAAAGAGAGAAGAAAATGTTAATAAAAGTTAAAAAGGACTCTTAGTAATTATAACTAAACTATGGATTTTTAGGGGACAATTAAAAATTCAAAAACGCATGCGACAAATATAATATAAAATAAAGCATAGTATATTTAATCCTTCGCGGTCTACTGTCCAATTCCTCTAAACAGATTTCACTATACCTTCATGCTCATAGAAATTTATCTTCCAGTGATTTTCGTTCAGCGAAATATTAAATATTTAATTGCAATATAATTTTGCAAACTTATTTACATCGGTGTTGCGCGGAATAACGATTAAGACTCGAAGCACGTATCTCGAGCAGCATCAACATCTCGATCAGCCCCCTCGAATTGTCCTGGGATTCCACGGAAATTCTGGCTGAGGCCGATTTAAAAGTTGCATCCGAGATCCTATCGCGAGATCCACGGTGGTAGACGTCTGGTCGTTTCCGCCGCAGGATATTAAAACTTCGCGGGGAAATATATAACGGCTGTCAGCCCGACTGGATACGTCGTGGGACGAATAAAAATGCGACTTATAGTACGGGCTAGAGGATAAGGAGAGAAAAAGAAAAAAAAAAAAAAGATACAGACAACTAAAGTTTCGCTTTCCCTGAGGGACTCGCGAAGTGTTAGGGCTACGAAACTCGTCGGAGACAGAGATTTAGGCGTTGTGATTTGTTGTGCTTGAGCTTGTTACTGGATACTTCGAGGACGTAATTGTATAATGACAGAGATAAAAATGTTTCATGACGGTGAAGTGAAAAAAAAAAAAAATTTGACGTCGTAATGAATGATGTGGAACATTTTGAAAAGATTTACGAAGGGACTTGGAACTTTTGGTTTTGTCGGTTGATTGAAAAAATGTGTTGGATCGAGAAAATACTAGATTTCGGAATGTATGTGTAATTAAACTGTAGATAAATTATAAAAATAGAATCTAAATACAAATTGCTTTTATCCTTTGTTACTAACGTTAAATAAATTTGAATAAATAGATTTTAGTATTTCGCAAAAGATTAAGAACCACTACCCTAAGGGGTTGCAACGCATACTCGTTCGCCGCCACTTTCCAGTCTGATTTCCTCGGTGAATTTGCTTTTTCTATTAGCGGGACGTTAAGGGTGATAGGGTGAAACCGTGAAATTGAACTGCAACCTCTCTCTCTCTCTCTCTCTCTCTCTCTCTCTCTCTCTCT